GCCCAGCAGAGGTTGTACTTCCTTCGCCAGCTGAGGAAGTTCAACCTGCCACAAGAGCTGCTGAAACAGTTCTACTCCGCCATCATTAAATCCGTCCTCTGCACTTCTATAACTGTCTGGTTCAGCTCAGATACCAAATCTGACCTCAGAAGACTACAGAGGATGTCTATATTGTCTATATTATATATTGTGTTTTTGCTTTTTTTGTACATTGTCTATTTTGTATATTTGTATATTATTCTTTTTATTATCTGTGTCCTGTCTTGTCACTGTCATTCTGTTGCACTGTGGAGCTTCTGTCACTAAAACAAATTCCTTGTATGTGTAAACATACCTGGCAATAAAGCTCATTCTGATTCTGATTCTGTTGTTTTATGTTCATATGTTTAATTATGTAGCACCGTAGTCCTGTGAGACATGAAATTCGTTCCACTCTATGTCCACACATGTACACTGTAAAAAATGACCGTTAATTTAACGGTAAAAGACTGTAAAAATGCTACAGTAAAATCCTGTTAAATGGTTAACGGTAAATTCCCCTACTATATACGGTGAAAAACTGTATTGGACATTACATGTATTGGACATTAATTTTACGGTAGTATACCGTTTTTGAAAGTGAAAAAGACCGTTTAATTTACAGTGAATAACTGTAAATTGACATTCCCAGAATTCCCTGCGTTACATTTCAAATTTGATGTTTTTTTGTTGAAATAACTATGTTTCTTTTTAGTTTTTTCTTTTATCAGTTTTGTATATTAGGGTTGTGCGTTACACCTAATGTTGTTCAGTTAATGTTTATTGCATTATTTCAGTTTCATGTGTGTTACCATGATGGTGTTTGGTGTTTGTGTGAATGACACTGTGCACCTTCTATATATGTTATTATATAAAAGCTGCTTGTGATGGGCTTTGTTTCATCATGTGACTTTCTCATCACCACCTGCTTTTGGTGGTTATCAGTGTATTACAAAGGTACAAAACAGATTTTAGTACTTCAATAGGTTGGTATATAATAAAATTTTATCAGTTAATGAAATTACGGTATTTAACTGTAAATTTAAGTTAAAACCGTAAAACCTAAAACGTTGCTACCGTATTTTTTACGGTAAAATTCCGGCAACCACAGCTGCCGGTTTTCTACCGTAAATTTTACGGATTTTTTTTACAGTGTAGTGAAACGATAATAAAGCTCGACTTGACTTAACTGATGTAAGAAATCTGCTTTGGGACAATTATATGGTTTTGACAGTGATGATGCGATTACACCACACTGTTTACAGTAATAATTTAAAGTTTTTTTTTTTTTTATAAACATGTGCTTGACAAACATCTTTGTATAGGGTGTCTTTCTGCTTTACCCTGTCTTCTTTTCCATTCATCAGTAGCTATGTTTCCATCCAAAGATTCAAATTAAACTTATGCGCAAAACTGGAATATCGCATAAAACATATGCGAATAAAGCACCGTTTCCATCGAACGAGTCAAAGAGAACAAAATCGTCACTTTCTGGTAAACTGTGGCACTAAATATCACTAAGGATATAGGAGAAGCCACTGAATTTAATAATTTTCATATATGATATAAATTACTTGCACCTCAGAGCGAGCAGATGTCACACAATAAATGCTGTCAATGCTTTCGGAGGTGGATGCTGCTCTTTGGGAACGCAGTCGTGTAAGACAATTATACAGAAATACTTTGACGACAGACTTTGCTCAGGCATTTCAGAATGACCATAACAACATAAAGATGCTGTGAACAAGATCGGTCCGCTGCTAGTCAAGTTATCTCGTCCCATAGTGCAAAGTCACATGACTTTTTAGAGGCGCATGGAGGAATTTATTCGGTAAATGTTTTTCCATCGTAGTTTATGCGCATTTTTTCTTATCGGATAAAA